TAATTTAATTTAAATTCATGCAAGATTGGCTTGAACGCAGATATAAAATTGACCTAAATCGGCAATATGAGAATGTTACAACGTTTTAAATGAAACTGATATTTATTGCAGGTGAAAATAATTGCATCATAGATTTCGAGAATACGGCATCGTTTAGCAGAGATTATCAAAACGCCCAGGACTGTATGTGTGATAAAGAACATATGTTAGACTGTTCGGAATCCACAAATAGGAATAGTCTGCCAAGCATGCATATTCCGAATTCCAATTTCAATCAAATTGTTGATCAATTCCAAGCTGTAAGATGAATCTAATGAAATCTTCGAGCATATACTACTAGAAGTATCTTCCCCTTTGTAATGTCTGTTATAACTGTATTATTTCAGAATGATAATCCGTTCTTCCAAGGCGAGAAGCTGCCGATAGCGGCGAAGAAAGGCCTCAACGTGTACTAAAAACATGATCGGAAGATATATACATATCTATGTAAAAGAAGGACAAGCATTAATTGAAATCCATGCTCTAGTAGCATGTAATCCTGTAAAGAGACCGCATAAATGGCAGACGAACTCATAACAGGGAAAAAAGATTTAAATAATCTGAGAGACCTGGTGCTAGACATGTTTTAACATGGTACGTATCACTAATAAAATCAGTGTGCTTATATTAAACTATTAAATACTTTATAAATATCTTACGTCACATTTTTTTAAGAATACTTAGGTATTCTGTTATGAAGGATCAAGTGTAAAATTTTAACAGTTGTATTAATTATTGCACTAAAATATTTTATTGTTTAATACGTTATTGCTGCGTCGTAAAATGCTAAGTACATGCATATTAACAGGGAATGGTTTATCGAACTTTTATGTATACATAGAACTTATTTTCCCCTGATAACGTAGGTATGAATTACATGTGGAATGATAAGATTTTTATAGATCTGTTGCGTTTATCGATTATACACATTTTGTTTTTATAGCGATAGAGTATCAACCTTAATTTTTATTATGTACGAACCAGTATTTTCTTGACCAAGAATGTTGTCAACTGATATACTGTATTTATTACTCGCATACAAAAAATGGATATATTGTGATCAATGTAATAACCATCACTATTTTTGTTATGTAGACATCAGTATTTTATTGTGCAGAAATATATATATACATGTTTTAAAACGATACATCGTATTTATTTCGTTAGGTATAAAATCTGTTTGTCGAAGGACGCCAGGGCATCCCGAAGGCAAGTTTGAGTCTGAAATACTACAGGGTGTGCCAGAATGTAAGACTTTCCTCTAAAGGTGTGATGAAACATGAAATTCTAATTCAAGTTCCTCTTCCCCTTAATATAATGGATTATTTGTGTACAAATCTTATTGTAATCGTCAGACATAAGATGAATTATTATACAAAATTCATTTTTATTAATAAATAATATTCGCTAACTACTTGATAAATTATACCAAGGCAATCGTTGATGACTTCATCTGCTTTTGTATAAATCGTACGTTATAGTAAAAAAAGTACTTTCATTGTTTTTTAAAACTTTTCAGGATTGGATATATATTGTTCAATGCATCTTGAAGTTCAGTTCGATTTTTTGCTCCTAAAATATCATTATGATCGTTTACGAAAGTAATTAAATAATCAACAATTTGTCAAGTGATTCCCACCTGTTAACACGATCTTTCCATTTACGAATATGAGTAATACTACTCTTGGTGACACCATTCTGTATATAAGACCTGGGTAGAGTTCAGGTTCATAACTAGAGAATTGCCCATGAATATGATTCAAGTTTTCCAATTTAATTGGAAACTTCAGGTCACACGTGGCAACTATGTTTTGTACTTTAAAATTATAAAATCTAGCCTATAATACAACAGGCAAAAGAAATGCACACATACTTATATCAAATTATCACATATGGAATAATAAAACGTACTGGAAATCCGAGTTTCTGAATTATTCGTGCAAACTTTCTCGTTGCTAAATATGAATCTTCCTCGCACCTTGCACCAGTACAAACCACCTTCCCTGAGCGGAAAATCAATGCAGTGGCTCTAGGATTTCTGATTCTCATAATCAGACCAGTAAATCTTGCAGGATTATATTCAGAATTTCTTGTTTTTGTATTAATCTGCATCAAAGGTAATTCTACACCTAAATTAACAGTTGAAACAACATTCCTGAAACAGAAAGAAATGTACCCTATTACATCAAAATTGCCTTTAAATTTAAATCATCGTAAATTTGTAAAAGCAATAATTTTATCTCCTCCTTGTACAATTTCATTTAAAAATAGTTATTATTATGAAAACAAGAAATAATTATTAGTCTCACTCACTGTAAACATGGTTCTATAACTTCTTTTGTACTGTTAACCGGGGTCATCGGTGCTAGCATTGACTGTGGATTAACATTTTGCGATATACTCGGTCGCGGGATGTTTGTCTGTAATACAAAAATAAAGAGAAAACGAAGAATGCAGAAGCCTGTACTGCGAGAGAACATATTCTTCGGTTTACCGTCTGTGGCGGACCCATGGAGCCAATCTCACCAGCATTTTTCGCCGGATTACCCAGTAACCTCTTCAATTCGTTATCTTCTTGTACTAACGCAGTCATTTTAATATATCCTGTCCTACAAGTAATCACAAAATCCTTTCTGTCAGATACCCCACCAACCAAGAACCATTTTGAACACTACCAACAAATGTAACAAATCCAGTGAGCTATGTCACTTCCATGAGTTCCATGGTGCCACTTGGTGTTGGTGCCCAGTGCCCAGCGTTCGTATAATTTGTCCCGCACGGCTCGCTTCCCCTCTTTTTCGCCCGTATTTCGATTTCCACTACTATTCTCCTCATACGCCTTCGTTGACCATGCCTAGCATACCCCCATCAAGTACCAGTCTCCATCATGGTCGCGTCGTCCCCACTTTCCGGCCGAGGGACAAAT